GATTTTTCACCTGTACAATTAACTCTATTGTCACATGTGAGAAAGAATTCTCCTTTTTAAATCATTAAAAGTAAAATGTCTTTTGTTTCTTGCGAATATATTTTTATTTGACTGATTATGTAACTAACAACTTCTAGCTACTTGAACCCTAACGTCAACCTTCTCCAACCTCGACTTGACACTACAAATCAAGCACCTCATATGACACAACTGTAGACTTAAAAAATTTTTTTAATCATTTTACTCCAAGCAAGGTAATGAAGCCACTAAGATGCAAGGGGTTACTGAGTGCCAAAGAATATAAGTAAAAGAAAATGTTATGAAGGAGAGAGAACAGCAAAAAAACATGAACTAACAAGATAGAAGATAACGATTGAAATTGCATTTAAATTTTTGAAGATCAAAATTGACTGGAAAGTAGGAAGCTAAAAGAGAGTTCTACAAGCATGAAGTGAATTAAAAGAATCTTAGCTGTCTATATTTCTGGGAATAGTATTGTAACTATTTACACGATTTACATTGTCTGGACTGTTGTCCTCATCTTTATTGTTCCCCCAGTGGATATGGCCCAATGGATAAAAATGTTGGTTGAAGTAATCCAGTGATTTGATCGAAATAGTTCAATACATGGCCACAGCAGAGGTGTACAAAAACTTGGAGAGATTTTAGTTACTGAAGGGAAATATCTGAAACTACAATATCCAGAAAAGGCATGGCATGTAGAACTAGAACACTCTACCCTGGTGGACGAAATAAAGTGTTTGGTTTGAAATTCCGGCATAGATCACCTTAAGACGACTGCAGCATACAATGGTCAAAACGTTGTAAATATGAAAATAAAGATAAGGACAACAGTCCAAACAATGGAAATAATGTAAAAAGAAACTTAGCATAGAATTATGCTTTAACCTTCAGCCAAACTGAAGTGGCAGGAGGTGACATCACAGTGGTGGTGAAATTAATCTTCAGTCAACTCTCCTAAATATGGATTATTATGTATTAATCTATTCATGTTAGTTTTTTTTTATCTCGACTGTTATAATCATGGTTCCATCATTGTGACCTCCAACCTTTTGCTATACGTTGCATTCTCTAATGATGGACACCTGAAGAAGGCTAAGAAGTATAGCAGTCGAAATGCTAGCCCTGGAGAAAGCAAGACGGAGACAGTAATCTGAATAGATTAATGTATAATAATGATAATTTCTGCCCTAAAATTCCGATAGTAGGAATTATCTGATTGGTATGGAATTGATAATTATAAAAGCTCTTTTCCACTCTAGCACATATATCTAAATGTGATAGATCCTTGGAGAAGGCTAAAAGAGTTAACTATGAAAATGTTGTGACTGTCATTCCTAAGTTGAAGCTATTCGTCCAAATAGATTCATGAATGATATTATCTTTTGCTGTGAAAATTTATTCTATTCTTAATCCTCTCTGAAAGCATCAGTGTCATTAATTAAGGCATTCTATAAAACTATAGACAGTCATTCCTGGTAACCTCAAGGTCAGAAAATAGAATGATCAAGGAGATTCCAAATCTTAGCAAAGACTGCTTATATTCAATCTTCACTAATACCTTTGGGAAAGGCATGAATCCACTTTACCCTGTATTCTATATAGAGGTGGGACAGTTTAATAGTTGTCAGTATAAAAAATAGAACTTGCAAAGCAAGTTTAATATTTAGTCAAGGCTGCTTGTCTACACTTGTCTTTATTACCTTTAGGAAGGCATAAATTCAATTCTCCCTGTATTCTATAAAGGTACTAAATAGAGATGTATTTTAATTGTTATTAGTATAGAAAATAGAAGTACCAAAGCAAGTTAAATTTTCAGTTCAAGCTTCTTGTTTACATTTGTCGTTAAACCTTTGGGAAGGCATGAATTCACCTCTCCCTGTTTTCTGTAAAGGTACTAAATGAGGATGTAGTTTAATGGTTAACAGTACAGAAAAAAGAACTGGCAAAGCAAGCTAAATTTCCAGCTGCAGCTTCTTGCACTAATGCCCTTGGGAATGGCATGAATCCACACCTCCCTGCATTCTGAAATCTTTTATGTTCATGTTGTACTAATGCCCTCAGAAAAGGCATGAATCCAAGCCCTCCTTGCATAATAAATAAATAAATACATACATATATATATATATATATATATATATATATATATATATATATAACTGAAATGGTGGTATGAAGTATTGTAAAGTTTATCAGCACAGAAAATAGAATTGGCAAAGGATGTTCAGTTTTCAACTGAGGTTGCTAGTCTACAGTTGGTATTAAATACTCTGTGGGAAAGGAATGAATCCACCTTTCCCTGTATTCTATATAGGTATTAAATAAAGGTGGTAAGTACTATGATGATTATCAGTACAGAAAATGAAATTGTCAGAGACTTTAAATTTAAGTTGAAGGTGTTGTTTATTCATTAAAGCCTTTAGAAGAGGCATGAATCCACTTCTCTCTGTGTTCTATCCTCCCACCATTTAGAGGTGCAAAATAATGGTTATCAGCACTGAATTAGCCAAGTTCAACTTCTAGCTGACAGAGTTTATGTTTACTTCACATTGATGCTCTTAGGGAAGGCATGACTCCATTTTTCCCTGCTTTCTGTTCCATTGTCAGGTATCTTTATCATCACCAAAATGCAACAATATTTGATAGAGAATTGAGCAGGTGTGTGCACAAACTTTTGTTTCCAGAAATACATAGGGTTCATAGCCAGCCTAGAAAACAGAATTAAAAAGAATCAAAGAATTATCAGGGAATTCGACTGAAAAATTGACAAATATGATTTATATATATTAGTTTTCTAGGCTTGGCAAAATTGGAATAAAAATTCTTTTCTTTGTCCATTCATCTTTTAGCTGAGCTTTAGCACAGCTATATACAGGGTCCAATGGATAAATTGTCATCTAAATTATGCAAAAATGAAAATAACACTATCATTTCATTTTAACAGATATTTTATTCAATAAAATCGCCATTGGCTTCAACCACAGCCTACACACAACTTCAGAATCTCCTGCAACTCTTCTGGACAGTCTCCTTGTTTAAGTTGGTGAATACCACCATAATCCTTGCCTTCAGTTAATCTTTGATATTACAAGGAGCTTTGTTGGTCTCTCATGCAACTGCGCCCCACATATAATAATCAAGGGGTTTACAGTCTGGGAAGTTAGGTGGCCAGATGTTAGGGGATATGTGGTCACAGAAATTGTCTGACAGCCATGACTGGGTTCTCCTGCTTGTGTGGCATCGTGCAGAATCCTGTTGCTTGACATAGGGTCCAGCAGCTACCCTCTTGACCCAGGGCAGCACTATCTCCTTAAGGCACTTGATGTAGGCCTCCATGTTGAGTCTGAGGCCCTCATCAAAATATTTGGGAGTTCTTTTTTTATCAGAACAACCAGAGTAAGTTTTCCAAGCTGCCATACTTTCATAATCACTATTAGACTCATCCAACTCTTTCTGAATCCTCTGCACTGTCATCAGATTGACACTCTGAAATGTTTGTATTTGTGCTTCCAGTGTGAATGCCAAGCAGTACTGCATGCCATTTCCAAATCTCTAGCAGAGTGAATTGCCTCATGATGCTCTTTTATTTTTAACAGATGGTGCCAAACTGACCCTTTTATACTGTGCAGTTGACAAAATCAAAAACACACAATGCGCATGCACAAAATTAAAAATATAAAATGACGATAATTTACCCATCACACCCTGTATTTACTGCTGTCTGTCTGTTATACAATGCCCTAAATTCAGGGAGTTTTATTCAGTGATTAAGCTAAGAACCTAATACGTGTCCAAACACCAATAACTGCATACTATTACTCCCACTTTTCTCTCCTGACACATGTCCAATCACACACATAGAAAGTATATACTTAAAATTATAAAAGCTTTAACAAAAAAAATTTAACCATTCCAAAAATGGTATCTTATATAGATGTAGTTACTATATATATATATATATATATATATATATATATATATATGGAGAGAGTGGGGAGCATCTCAAGGTGGTGTAATGGTTGTAAGCTTGTCTTGCTAAAACAATTACAACTGAGTAGTGAGTGCCACATACTTTCAGGCATGTGCCACATCTAAGCTATGCTTGGAAAATCACTATATATATATATAAGGAAGGATATATATATATATATATATATATAAAGAGAGGGAGATAGAGGTTATTTGTTTGTTTTATACAGGATTAACAGTTCTACTACTTACATTAGAAAAAAAGTTGGAATAAAAATCTAAGATTTTAATGGTCTTTGATGACTTCTTTAATCCAAGAAATCTTAAATTCCTTTTGTTCTTTTCGTAAATTGCAAACATATATCATGGGAATCTCCCAGGATTTTCTTTGAATTTGCATAAGATGGTTATCATGTCAGCTTTCTCAGTTGCCGAAAATGTGCCATCATCTCCAGTACCCCGCCCCCAAGTTCAGTTCTGACCACTGAGCCTTCTCTTTGCCTTACAAGATAAGCCTCTGTAACAGCTTACCTTGCTTTCAATGATACTTTTGCTTTCCTATTCAACTATCCAGTGCAAATCCAGTTTGGTTTCGATCTAGAATCAAGTCTTATTTCCTTTGGAACCTTGTAAATATTCATTGCAAAATTCCATCTTTTAAAAGCCATGGAAGCTTTGCATAATTGAGCTGGTGTCAGTTTTTAGGTTTTTACGTAATACCGGCTCCATGTGCTGATTTGAGACCTTGGGCAAGTCTCTTATTCAGTACTGATTCCCTGCGAGGCCATCAAAGCCCGGTTTCAGACCCCAGGGGTTAGCACTTTCAAAGACCCAAAATTACCACAGAGGTGTCTGAAGGCTCTATTCACTGGACCATAAAAAAAAAAAGGGAAGAGAAATTGTAGCAATCAGAAGTCAAACTTGGGATATTGAAAAATGTATGAGTCTCTGTTTAGAGATTATTTTGGGTTATAACAGCAGTTCATTCTTTCTGTTTTATTTTAGACAGAATGGCTGCATTCAAAGCCATCTTCTTTCTTCACCTGGTTCTTTGCTTTAGAACTGCTGCTTTCTCTTGTTTACTTTCATTGCTATTCATCCGTTAAGTTCTTCTTCGCTCTTTCGTTCGTGTACATTTCAGTCTATAATTTCCTGTTTTCCAATTTTCAGGCTAGAAATCTCTTCCTCGTTTTTTTTTTTTTTATCTTTTTGAAAAGATTCCCTTTCTTCCTGAAGACTCTCAGACTCTCTCTCTCTGTTGGTGGCTCATTTGGCCAAACTTAATCTCCTTGTTTTAAGTCTTCTACCTCATCCTTCTTTTTTTCTCTCTTCCTCTCTTTTTCTACCACTTCCTCCTACTCTTCATTCTATTTTCCCTTTTGGTCCTTACAACTATATCACGTTGAAACACCAATTCTCATTGGATCACCAAAATTAAGCAACATTGAATCTAGTCAGTACCTAGAGGAGTGACCACTTGAGAATACCAGGTGGTGTAAGCTTGGATGTGCGGGTGGTGTAATAGATTACATTTTGGAATTGTTAATTGGAGAGCTGAGTTCTGATTCCTGTTGGGTACATTATATTCACTTACACACAAGTACCCTTAGGAAAGGTATGAATTCATCTCTTCTTCCCCCAGCTATGGGTTAATTAGTAAGACTTGTATCACTAAAACATTACTATCTCTAAAAAAACCAAAAGTCTTACAATCTAAAACTATTTTCTGGCTTCAAAATAACCTGCAAAGGGTTACAGCCATATCACGTTGAAACACCAGTTCACATCAGATCACTGAAGTTAAGCAACATTGAATCTGGTCAGTACCTACAGGGCTGACCACTTGGAAATACCAGGTGATATAAGCTTGGATGTGTGGGTGGTGTAATGGATTATGTCTCAGAATTGTTAATCGGAGAGCCAAGTTCCATTTCCCATTGGGTTCATTATATTCACTTACACAAAAGTACTCTTGCGAAAGGTATGAATTCATCCCCCCCAGCTATGGGTTAATTTGTAAAACTTGTGTCACTAAACCATTATTATCTCTAAAGAAAAAAAAAACAAAATCTTACAATCTAAAAATATTTTCTGGCTTTAAATAACCTGCAAAGGGTTACAGCCATATCTCATTGACGCCAGTTGTCATCAGATCACCAAAGTTAAGCAACATCAAACCTGGTCAGTATCTATATGGGTGACCACTTGGTAATACACAATGCCTTATGCTTGGATTTGTGGGTAGTGTAATGGATAACAGCTGGCAATTGAAAATCAAGGAGAGCCAAATTCCAATTCAGATTTGTTATATTCATATATGCTAATAAATTTGGGAGAGGTATAAATACACCTCTTCTCCCCCAGCTATTGGTTAAATAGTATGATATGTATCAGCAAATAATATTATTTCCATATAGATTCTTACAATCTAAAAATATTTCCTGGCTTTAAATAACCTACAAAGTGTTGATAAGCCATAAAAAAAAACAAATCTACCCTTCATATTGTTTTCTTTGCAGCCTTTTCCTCCTCTCTCCTATTTGTTCTCTTTCCTCGCCCCTGCTTTGTTCTCTTCTGTGCTCTCCACTGCTTCTTTCTTCCTATCCCTCTCTCTCTTTCTCTCTCTCCTTGCCATCAGTTTTTCCTTTCTCTTCTATATCACTTTTTGTTCTTTTCTTTCTTTTCTCTGATACTTTCTCTTTCTTCTTTTCTCGTACTATCTCTTTTTCTCACATCTTGTACTTTCTCTCTCCCCTCCTCGCTCTCAGTCCTTTCCCCACTCTTTTCTTCCTTCTCTCTCTTTGCTTTTCTGAAATTAAATCTTTCTCTCTCTCTCTGCCCCTCTCTTTCTGGACCCTTCCCTTTCTTATTCTTTTCTCCTCTCCTCTCACTGTAATCATTTGTTTTATGCCATGGTTTTCATCTTCTGAAAGTACCAAGCATGACCTTACCAGTTCACGCTGTGATCCAACCTTTGAAAAGCACTTTTCTAAGATTGTCTTCATTTTGAACTTCCTTTCAGGAGAAGAAAAGTTTGCAACAGCCACTTTAATCGCCTCTTCTCAAAGCCTGGTCTCTTTGCATTCTTCAAATTATTGCAAGTCAGGAAAAACGGGGAAAAAAACTCAAATTCAACTTTCACTGACTTTTACAGTCTTTCCAAGAGTTAAAAAATAGACTTCCAAATATTTGGTGTTAAAAGTATTTCAGAGAGTTAAGAATGTGGCCATACTTTTAGGGAGTTAAAAATATGGCCTTATTTTGGGGAACAAAGAACATCTTACTTCAAGGAGTTAAGAATGTGGCCTAACTTTGTGGAATTACAAATGTGGCCTTATTTAGGAGAGTAAAGAACATCTTACTTCAAGGAGTTAAGAATATAGCTTATATAGACTTATATGGGGTATTTAAGAATGTGGCTTTATTTCAGAGATCTAGTTGTGGTGGCTGATACTTTAATATCTGACTAACGGTCGTCTGACATCGACTGACTGACCAACTCAGCGACTGCTACTACTCCTCATTATTATAAGTGGGAGAGTCTATTAACTATAGAATAGGTGTGTTCCACTATGACAGTATCTAAGAACATGGCCTTATTTCAAGAAGTTAAGAATGTGTCCTTATTTTGAAGAGTAAAGAATGTGTCTTTGCTTTAAGAAGTTAAGAAGGTGTCCTTACTTAGATTAGAAAATGTGTCCCCATTTTGGAAGTTAAAAGAATTTACTGATATGAATAAATAAGAATTCAGAAATTATAACGATCTAGATATTTTCTGTTATTTTTTATTAACAATCTAGATTCTTTATGTTATCAAAAATTAAAAAATAAGACATTCTTTGAATTTCTGTACTACTTTTTTGATTGGTATTAACTTTTTCCAATTTTTGGAATTATCCCAAATCTTTACATAGAATTTCCTTCGTGTAAAAAGCTTGTCTCATGACTATTTTCAGCTTGTAGCCACATCACATTAAAACACCAGTTCCCTTACAATCACCAAAGTTAAACAACATTGAGCCTGGACAGTACTTAGATGGGTGACCACTTGGGAATATCAGCTGACATCTAAGCTTTAATGTGCAGGTGGTGTAATGGATAATGGCTTGGAATTGTTAATTGGAAAGCCGAGTTCAAATTTCTGTTGGGTTTGTTGTATTCACTTATGTGCAAATACCCTTGGGAAAGGTATGAATTTACTTCTTATCTCCCCAGCTATGGGTTAATTAGTAAAACTTGTATCACTAAACCATGATTCTCTCTCAAAAAAAAAGTAAGGGAGTACGGAAATTGTCTCAAGTGCTTTCGGCCACTTCTCTATTCTTACTCCCAGCAAAGAGAAAAATGTAAGAATGTTGGAAAAACTAAACAAAAAATTCAACAAATTTTCCTTGTCTGTCATATTCAATGGAATATATTAAAAGAGTGGTTGCTTCTGTTAATCTGCAAAAGTTTAAATGCAATTTCAATCGCTATTTACTGTCCACCTGATTACTTTCTTCTCTTTCTGTTCATTATTATTGTTTCTGTTCTTAATTCTTCCACACCCTGTAACCCCCCCCCCTTGTGTCTTAGTGGCTTTATTTCCTTACTTTGGGTGATAGCAATTAAATATATATATTTATATTTGTCTATATTTCTGAGATGAGGTATTATGTACAGTATTTACATTAGTCGGACTATTGTCCTCATCTTTGTCACCATATTTGTCTAGCGTTTGACGCCGTTTATGCTCCGGCCTTCTTCAGGTGGTTGGAATTTCGAACTGAACCCTTTATTTCGATCACTTGGGTAGACTGTTCTAGTTCCATGTGCCATGTTTGATGGATGTCAGTTATCAGTTATCACCTGCTAATTTTCCCTCTTAATCTTAACCTGGTATTGAACTCACACTCCTTGGGTCTGTCACTGGATCTAACCAATGCCTTTATCCACTGTGCTATGTGTCCTTGAGGAGAACTTTCAGAGGGAAAATTAGCAGGAGATAACTGATAACTGACATCCATCAAACATGGCATGTGGAACTAGAACAGTCTACCCAGTGATCGAAATAAAGGGTTCAGTTTGAAATTCCAACCACCTGAAGAAGGCAGGAGCGTACAACGGCCGAAACGTTGTGACAAATATGGCGACAAAGATGAGGACAATAGTCCGACTAATGTAAATACTGTATATTTATATTTATATATATTTCAGGCCTGACGATTACATCTACCATGAAACAGCCTGTCGCCTCTGAAAGTTGACTTCAGTGTTCACTTTTATATTAACATTTCCATACGCTCTATCTCTGATATTGAGCACTTTATCTCATAAATATAGCACACCTTAAAACTATATTTCTTCATATATATAGGTTGATAATAAATTTACTGTGTAATTTAACAATACAGGCCGTTTTGTTCTACTGATGTAAAGTAGAGAGACAGAGATAAAATTTAGCTTTATACCAATTTATAAATGATTACTATTGGTCTTTTCAGATTATAACTTTGCTTAGCCATAGGCATTAAAACATTGCCAACCATATAGATATTCAATTTCAATATTTAAAAGTGAAAATGTTGATTAGAGAATTTGTCATTTAACATTTCTTGATTCATTTTAACATAACTTTTTTCCCCTACCATGGGTTTGTCTTTAACTTTCAAGTCATTTGCAAAAGAAATTACTTATTAGTCAAAGCAAAAACAAAAGGCAACATGTTCATTGGCAAATATTCTTTTTAGTTCCTTTTGTCAGTAAGCAAATCAACTGAATGTTGGACTAAAGACAAACTTAATCAGCCAATAAAAACACTCATGGTGAAGGCAATCAGCGAATCACCAATCAGAATATGTGATGTATAATTTAAATGCAAACTGGGCCAGCCAATCAAATTATTATACTAAAGATAGAAGCAATGAACAAGTAAATTTGTACGAAGAAAAAAAAGAAAATTGTCTGACCAATTTTTTTAACAAGCAAGGAAAACCTTCGCAATATAAAATGGGGGGAAAAAATCGTTTAAACTTTAGAGAGTCAAAAATTGTTTTTAACGAAGGCATTGAATTATTTAAATTTAGCATTGAACTTTTAGTTTGGCAAAAATAAAAAAACATGAATTTCTTTTTCAATTTGACTATTCCTTCAGAGTTTTCAGGAATTATTAAGCTGAGTCATAAGTAAATTCCGTTTTTGGTTATTCCTGGTATGACAATAAACTACATCTGGCAGCAAGACCTCTGATCAGGAGATTGGAGGTTTTGAGGAGCATGGAACTACCTTTTAATTATTGTTGTGCTCAGGTCAACCCTAACCCCGGGTGGTAGCACCTGTTAGGGTCCCAGTTATGGGCAAATAGGGAACCCCCCGCCAAACAAAAACAAAACACTATGAAAGTATAAAAATATGTTTTTGTTGTAAAAAATTACTAACAATGCCTATTTATTGTAAAATTGCCAACAATACATAGTATAATAAAATTACCAACAATGCATTTTGTAGCAAAATGACCAACAATACATTTTTATAGTAAAATGACCAACAATACATTTTTATAGTAAAATGACGAACAATACATTTTTATAGTAAAATGACGAACAATGCATATTGTCTGTTATTGAAGACATACAATTGTGTTCAAAATATATTTAGTTGAAGCCATAAAATTCTGTTCCAAATATTTAAGATTCCCACATTAAATACCCAATAGATGTTGATATGCTGCTAAACAAAATCAACCATTTTAGGAACTAATTGTAACGACAAATGTCTCATGCTAACTCCTAATCATATGCGGCAGTTTAGAACAATTTCAAAGTATGCTAACATATGACAATGCCTGACACAAAAGGCAATGTACTGACAAGGATAAATTAACACAACTGACCTCAAAAGTTGAGCTCCATAGAAGAAGAGTAATTATTTACACTACTTAGATTTGGACTATTATCCTCATCTTTGTTGTCGTTATCACAACATTTCAACCATTCTACTGCCCAGCCTTTCTGAGGTATATATCAATTTGAGTAGCCAATATGAATTCTAAACTGAACCCATTATTTAATCTATGGGGTTCGACTGTTCACATTCTACTGCCCATATTTAGGGATATTGTCTAGTTCTTATTTTGTCTGGTCAGTACCAAGATGAGTGACAGCATTGAGATACCAGGTGCTGTAAGTTTGGATGTATGGGTGATCTAATGGATAATGGCTTGAAATTGTTAATCAGAGAGCCAAGTTCCAATTCCTGTTGGATTCGTTATATTCACTTACACGCAAATACCGTTGGGAAAAGTATAAATCACCTCTTCTCTCCCCAGCTATGGATTAAAAAGTAAAACTTGTATCACTAAATCATCTTTGATCTAAGCAAAAAATTCATACAATCTAAAAATACTTTCTGGCTTTAAATAACCTGAAAAGGGTTGATAGGTCGTAGAAAATGAATCAATGAATCACTGATTTGCTACACAGGGATGTATTTTAGATTTATTTGTTATATTCTGTGCTAATAGGAATATATACTTGAAAAACAAGGTGGATAAAATAAGTAAAGGTTTATTGTAATAAACCAGTACAATAACAATAAAGGTAACAGTTATTCACAAGGTCGTCGCAAGTGAATCCAATAGTGAATGTTACTATTGGAAGGTCGGTAGTTCTAACATAAGTCTGAGTCATACTCAACAGATCCCAGCTAGATACTGTAGTCCGTTGACTTACAGATACTTATAGGAAGTTACTACCTATAGTGTAGTCACTCATAGGGGTGACAGGTTATTCCATTACATCAATTTACATTCTCTGAAATATAAATATATATGCCCCTGAAAATAAAATTTTCATTGAGCACTTTAGTGAGAAAACATGAATTTGTAAACTGTGACTGCTACTGCTGATAATGCAAAGCTTTTCTATGAATCGAGCACTCTTGAGTCACTGGTGTGTTTATTCACAATAAATACATAAAAATTCACCTTCCTCTCTGCTGAGAGCCGATAGCTTCGGGGAGAAATCTCTGACTAATGCTAAATCAGTTGGGTTTCAATCCTGGCTTGAGGCAATCAGATGTCTAGCCACACTGATGAGCTGTGACAAAACAGTCTGTCTGTGGATGACAGTATATAGAAATATAAATGTATTGAAACTACCTTGTCCATAAAGTGAGTGATCAGTTTATGTATTGATTGTGATATAGAATTGATCCCCCACTTTATATCCATATAATTTATTGTTTGTTTAGCAAATTCTGATTAGGTATAAATCCATAAGTCCTCCTCTTCCCCCTCCAGCTATGGGTTAATTAGTAAGACTTGTATCACTAAACCATTATTATGTCAAAAAAAATTCTGGCTTCAAATAACCTGCAATGGGTTGATAAGCCATAGAAACTGAATCAGTCAATCGACTATTGATTAGCTACACAGACATGTCTTTTAGATTTATTTACATTCTCTGGTATATAAATGTATAGAAAGTACCATGGTTACAAAGTGAGGGATCAGTTTATTTATTGTAATATAAAATTGATTGCCCACTTTATATCCATATTATAATTTCTTGTTTGTTTATCAAATTCTGATAAGGTATGAATCCACCTATTGTCCCTCCAGCTATGAGTTAATTAATAGAACTTGTATCACTAAACCATGATAATCTCAAAAATTCTTACAATGTAAGAATATTTCTGGCTTTAAATAACCTGCAAATGGCTGATAAGCCACAAAAAAATGAATCAATCAAAAAAAGTATTTGGTATTAATTATACATTCTGAAAATCAAGTATGATATATTTCTCACAAAAATAGAACAGTGGCATTTATGAGTTAATCCAGTGTTTATTTTTATTTTTTTTTTTTTACTAATATCCTCATTTTTCTGTGTCTTTTCATCATGCTTTTTTTCTTTCTTATATATTCTTCATGCTTCAATATTAAACATTGACTCTTTGTTCCAAATTCTTGGAATATGAGTCATCAACAAGAAAAAAAAAGCATGCAATAAAGAAATCAAAAATTGTTAGTCTCTTTCTTTTTCTTTTTTTTCTTCCTAAAAACCCAAAAAGATAAGCAGGATTTCGAAGAAAAGGTCACCACCATAATGAAAGGTTGAGGTCATTGATAGCTTTCAAAAAAAATTAAAATCATTCTTGACTCAAATTTTAATCACAAGCTAACAATCATGTGACAAGCAAAAACTAAGACAAGTGTCTGCTCAGTTGATGAAATAATATCACTTTTAATTTTGTCATGTATCATGAATTCAAAATGTATCTTTAATAATTTACTTAAAGTCTAACATTGTATATGGCTGCCTGAAGTAGAACGGAATAATTTAAATTGATGGATTAGAGAAGAAAAAAGGAACTCATCAACAACCACACATGTTGTTAGAAATACATATTGTATTCTCATAGAAAAAAATATATTCTTCACTTGCAGATGGCCTGAAGAGTGTATTGAAGCATGAAACAGACTGTCATCACATGGTGTTGATCTCAGTGTCCACCATTTTATTAATATTTTTCATAGAAATATATAGTATTTCCAATAGCAATATATATTTTTTCAAAGAAATAGTAATTCCCATAGCAATATAAATATATTACAGAGAAATATATAGTATTCTTATAGAAAAAAAATATATATATATTCTCATAATAATATCTATTTTGCAAAGAAATATATAGTATTTCCCATAATATATATATATATATAGTATTCTTATAGCTATATATATATATATATATATATATATATATACACACACACACACACTTTGGAGAAACATAAAGTATTCTAATAGTAATGTGTGTGTGTATATATATATATATATATATATATTCAAAGAAATATTATAGCATTCTCATAGCACAACTGTTTAAAATGCTTATTTTTGCCATATATGAAAATCCAACATGGCGCATAAACAAAATATTTGGCGAAAAATCACATTCGTCAGTAACATTTTAAGCACCTCATAAAATGTAAAGTTCTTAAAGCAAACCTGTGCCAAACAGTTTTCCTGAATCCTTGATGACTTGGCTGTCTAAAAACGACAACATCAAGATGAAATAATGGAAACTGACCGTGAAAAACACAATTATGTGCAACAAGTTTTCGATCAATCAGTAAACTTCTGGACCTTCAGGATCCAGACAGCTATTGTTTACACATGGAATTATTCACTGGTAATTAATCTTCGATTTGGCTGTGGAAAATGTCACTCATCCCCTTTTTTTTATGAAAAAATATTTATTTTCACTTCAAAGTAATATCATTCAAACTTCATCCCTTTCTCCTTAATTTGGCATGAACATCATTGAATAAAAGGAACGGCTAAATGGCCCAGGGATGGGAAATACGAGAGACATATGGTGAAAAAAACAATGTCGGCTGCTAAGTTTTGTTGTTATCACCTGGGTCACAAGGTGTTAAAAACAAAACAAAACACACCAAGCGATTGTTCAAACATAGGTTTGAAAAAAGAACAAAAAAAAAAATCTTATATCAAGTCCTACCAATGTTGACCTTTTTTTTTTTTTTTCACTCTTTGCTCTTATCTGGGAGTGGTGGGTTTTATTACAAGCTGCTGACAACTTGTTCTAAACATTTATTGCTGGCTGACCTTTGACTCATACATGTCAATTTTATGCCTGAAATAGTTTGATTATGATTTAGGCTTTCTGAATTTTCAAAATAATGGTTAATTTCCCATTAATGGGAAAAGTTTTTGTTTAGAACTTGAAAAAATGCAAAATTTTCACTATTTTTTCACATTTTACCCCCTGAAATAAAAATTTGAGTCATTTACACCAGCCAATTTTACTTTTAAATGAAAGAATATATCTCTTGCTTTCAGAAAATACCTAGTTTCATGGGGTTCAGATCAAAAGTTTCCTTGATTTTAGTTTAGGTGATGATAAAACAGTCATTTTTCAATATTTTACCCCTATAAAAGTATGAAAATCCATTTTTTTTTTTTTGGAGAAAATAAACCGTGACAAAAGGACTTTTGTCATTTTTGTGATGATTTTTACTTAGGATAGAAAATTTTTAAATTCAGTAGGGCTATAGGAAACCTCAAACAGCTGTGATAGAAATATATATATATTTCAGAGAAATATATAGTATTCTCATAGTAATATCTAATTTCCAAAGAAAGATATAGTATTTCTATAGAAATATGGTATTTCTCATCGAAAGATACACAAAGTATTCATCAAATATATATTTGATAGAATCAGCTTTAAAATTAATTTGTCAGAGTTAACAGAATGTAGCTCATCTTTTAGATCAGCTGCCAATTTTGCAGCTGGAACCTTCCATGTTGCATTCACTGAGATAATTTCTTCCATATTCCATTTGTAATGAAGAAGTTCCATCAGACAACCTTTTCTCAAGAACTACTTTGTGAAAAAGACTCCTGAATGGCTATAACACCACTAAGACATGGGGAGGGTGTGTACTAGAAGTAAAAGAGAAGGAAAAGACTTTAGAAGGAACCAGAAACCCAATAATTGTATAAATATCAAAGTTTAGGCAGAAGTATAGAGTTGAAGTAGAATTTAGAAGGAACCAGAAACCTTATCCTAAATAGGAAACAATGGATAAACCTCTACTCCTGTTAAAAAACAAAACAAAACAGGGAGGAGTGTGAACTGGACGGTTTTACACAGACTTGTCTTGTTCTCCACTCTGCAACCTCTTTCTCACAGATGCAAAGTTGCACACCTGTTGCTATTTTCATGGCAAATGTTCAGAATAGCACACCATTCTTTAAAGCTTGGCCATACCATGATGTCCAATCACTCTCATTTTGTTCACATTGCAAATATAAGGGGAAAATTCCCCCTTTTTCCCAAGAACTGCTTCCCTAAACACTACACTCTGAACATTTTCAAATCAAAGGATCACTTATTAGCTATTCTTCTTATTCTGATGATCTTCACTTCTGACTACCTCCACTTTTATTTATATCACACACACACACTCTCTAGCTTGTGGAGCTCTTGAGCCTTGTATTGAGTGAACTTTAGAAAAAAAAATAAGTTGGAAAGTGCTTTATTCTCCAAGTTAGAGAATTTCAGCAGTGTTACCCTAATAAAAATCTTGCTATGATGTGCTGTTTTTATGTTATAGTAACAAAGCCATGAATAGAAAATAGACAATTATTATACCAATGTTCTTGAACTACTAAACATTTTATTATAATGATAAAAGAAAAATCAGGGAAAAAAAATAAATAAAATTAACTATTTTCTTTCTTTTTTGTTCCCAAAGTTCGTTTTTTTTTTTTCAGAAATTGATCTTTTCATCTAAATTTGTTAGCTGAAACACAAACTCCTCTTTCACAGCATTTCAAATCTGAAGCAGCAATCTGTGTGCCAAGGGTTAAGGAATCTTTCTGATACTAATGAATGCATTTGACTTTTGGAGGTTGATTGGAAAAGGCCAATTCCAAGTAGCAGAGTCTCACTTAAAGCAGACAAGAACTCAACTCTCCTGAAGGTTAAAGAATTGGTGTTAATTTGCCAAAGTCATCTTAAGAACTACCCTGAAACCTTTCCAACACCCACACCAATTCTGATCACTTCTTGACCTCTGTGATTGGGCATCCAATTCTAAGACCAGTCGATAGATCAAAATCTCTTGTTCCTCATCTCATTATTTTGTGTCAAATGTGATACATCTACAACTCTGTCTGCGATTACGATACGCACTTCTTGTCAGACTCTTCAATTCTCTCTTCTTCGTCACTATTCAGGTAGTGGCTGTCACTTTATGACTCTACACCTCACCTATATTTTTCAATTACGTCTCCTTCAATACTCCTCTCACCGCTTCATCTACAATGGTTGTAATGTTTTCCCCCACTTCTTCCAGTTGTAATAATCGGCCACTCCAATTAAATATCCTACCTATCTCTATTCTATACCTATTATGCCTTACAAACATTTTCTCTTCTTCTTTCCATTAGATTTCTTTTATCTCTCAGCTTCCTGTCTCCAATTTTCTTTATTCCCTTCTAAGTCTCTGTATCAGCCATCTTTATTTCCCTTTAAGTCACCTTGTCAGCCATCTTTCTTTTTATACCTCCCTTCTGTAATATTTCTCTCTTTTTTATTTTCCTTTTTACTAAGCATATCATTTATTAGTTTGTAAAATGGTATCAGCAAGCCAAGTTCAAATTCCAGCATGCTCTTTTGTATTCACTTTTGCACTAATGCCCTTGGGAAAAGTAAGAATCCATCTCTTCTCCCTAAGCCATATATTAAATAGCAGGGCAGATTGGAATCTCTAGCCTTAGATTGCAGCCACTCTACAAAGAGAACTACTCTGGATTCAAAGCCATGAAGAAGACAGCTGGAAATCATTCCAGGATCTTCCCCAAGAATTCATGACAATTTGGAGATAATAAAAGAAAAAGGAATGTGTGGAGAGCCATAATCAGCTATGTCCTGAAGGGTCATGGTATTTAATTGTAAACTTTACTGGACTCTCTAGACTTGGATAACTGCCAGTCAAAGAGAAGTAAATCTCCGAATTTCACAACCATGAAGGTGGCAGCAGGAAAACACTCCACTATTTCCCAAGAAGTCGTCAAGCTGGGTAGCTGAGAAACATTGTGATAACAACAACAAAGATGAGGACAATGGTCCAAATATAAATATTGTAAACTCCTCATCCCAGATGTTCAGACAGAAACTAATCTTCCAGTGTACTAAAGGAGAAAAGAATTAATATCCTCATCTTGTACAAGGCTGCAAGGATGATGGGAAGACACCCAACTTTTTTTTCTTGTTTTTTTATACAAGGAAGTTATAGAGAGCCATGATTGCTTAGGTTCTTAAGAGACATAGCACATAACAGAAGACTCACTCATTCTCTTTTCTAATGATAGTTACTATTCGTTTACAAACATTCTCCTACTCCTCCAAATTCTTTCTTTTTCTTTATATTTCTCTCACCCCCATCTCATCTCACGTCTCCTTCTCTGTTCCTTCCTGCCACACCTCACAAATGCATGACAGATTATGTCTTTCTATTTGAAAATAATAACATGAGAAATTATTTTTTTTTAATCATTTCACCCCAAGCAAGGTGATAATGCCACTAAGATGCAAGGGGTTACTGGAATGGAAAGGAAATGAAAATAATTCATAAGAAAGAACTGGAAACCCAATCCTAAACAAGAAATAAGGGATAAACCTCTACTTCTGTTCAAAAGACAGGGGAGGAGTGTGAACCAGGCAATAAGCAAACCTAAATATCTTTTTACTATGTTGCAGGTCACCATTGGGCAAATGATGAATTAACAATTCACAAAAAATTGTTTGTGTGAGGCTGTTTACTTATTGGGTCACAGAAGGTTTCTTTCAGATTAATTTATAAAATTATCAAAAATAAGTGAACAATGTGCCTTCTTGATGTAAGAAATCATGGCTCTCCACAGCTTTGCCTCAAACCTTGTCTCTGAATCTTATTCTCTCTCTCTCTCTCAATATTTTTCTTCTCTTTTCTCTAAATTTTTTTCTCTCTCCATCAGTTTTTGTCTTTTCTCTCACTTTTTATCACTGGATCTTTTTCTTCTCTCTCACTTACTCTCAACTCACACTGAAAATACCAGTTCTCATTTCATCTCCGAAATTAAGCAGTGGTGTTTAGCCCAGTCACTAATTAGATAGGGAGCTACTTGGGGAACACCAGGTACTGTAAGTGACCTCTTACAATTCGATATTGATTCTGGCTTTAAATAACCTACAAAGGGTTGATAAGCTGTAAAAATAAAATAAAATTAATTAACACTCTCTCTCTGATTCATTTTCTTCTCTCTTTTACTCTGTCCCTCCAAAACTGATTTTGTCATTTCTCTCACTCCCTCTCTAAATCTTTTGTCATCTTTTTCACTCTTTCTGAATCTTTTTCGTCCTCTCTCACTCTCCCTCAGAATATTTTTCTCTTTCTTCTTCTCAATATCTTTCTCACTGAATCCTTTTCTTCTCTCTCCCACTGACTCACTCTGAATCTTTTGCCTTCCCTTTTACTCTATCTTTGAATTTCTCCTCTCTTTCTTAGAATATTTTTCTTCACTCTCTCTGTAAATGTGTGCAGGTGGTGTCATGAATAGCATCTCAGAATCAAAAACTGGAGATTTGACTATGAATTCCAGTGAAGTTTATTACATTCACTTACATGCAAATACCCTTGAGAAAGTATGAATTCAATTCCTCTCCTTAGCTATGGATTAAATAGTGTGGCTTGTATCTGAAAAAAACATTGTTATTCTTTTAAAAAAAAATTGTTAAAACAATATTCACTCAAAAAATATTTTTTTAACTCTAAATACATTTCAGCTTTAAATAACTCACAAAAGGTTGATAAGCCATAAATAAACAAATTAATCAATCTCTCTGTATTTTTTATTCTATTCTTTTTCTCTCTCTATGAATCTTTTTTCTGTCTCTCTCTCTCTCTCTGAATCCTTTTATTCTCTCTCACCCTCACTCTCTTTGAATCCTTTTATTCTCTCTCACCCTCACTCTCTTTGAATCCTTTTATTCTCTCTCACCCTCCTCTCTTTGAATCCTTTGAATCTCTCACCCTTATTCTCTCTCACCCCTCACTCTCTTTGAATCCTTTTCGTCTCTCTCACCCTCACTCTCTTTGAATCCTTTTATTCTCTCTCCTCCTCTCTTTTATTCTTCACCCTCACTCTCGATGAATCCTTTTATTCTCTCTCACCCTCACTCTCGATTCGAATCCTTTTTCTCTTCTCTCTCACCCTCTCACTCTCTTTGAATCCTTTTATTCTCTCTCCCCTCCTCTCTTCCTTTTATTCTCTCTCCTTTTTATTCTCTCTCACCCTCACTCTCTTTGAATCCTTTTATTCTCTCTCACCCTCACTCTCTTTGAATCCTTTTATTCTCTCTCACCCTCACTCTCTAAATCCTTTTATTCTCTCTCACCCTCACTCTCTTTGAATCCTTTTATTCTCTCTCACCCTCACTCTCTAAATCCTTTTATTCTCTCTCACCCTCACTTTCTTTTTTTCTCTCTCTCTCTCCTAAATCCCTCTCACCCTCTCTCTTTTTAATCCTTTTATTCTCTCTCACCCTCAATCTTTTATTCTCTCTCACCCTCACTCTCTTTGAATCCTTTTATTCTCTCTCACCCTCGACTTTTATTCTCTCTCACCCCTCACTCTCTTTGAATCCTTTTATTCTCTTTGAATCCTTTTTATTCTCTCTCTCCTCCTCTCGACTTTTATTCTCTCACCCTCACTCTTTGAATCCTTTTATTCTCTCTCACCTCCTCTCTTTGAATCCTTTTATTCTCTCTCACTCCTCCCTCCTCTCTTTGAATCCTTTTATTCTCTCTCTCTCTTTGAATCCTTTTCGTGTACTCTCTCACCCTCTCTTTTGAATCCTTTTATTCTCTCTCACCCTCTCTCGATGAATCCTTTTTTACTCTCTCACCCTCACTCTCTTTGAATCCTTTTTCTCTTTTCCTTCTCTTTCACCCTCACCCTCTCTTTGAATCCTTTTATTCTCTCTCTCTCTTTGAATCCCTCCTCTCTCACTTGAATCCTTTTTATTCTCTCTCACCCCTAAATCCTTTTATTCTCTTTGAATCCTTCTTCACTCTCTATTCTCTCTCACCTCACTCTCTTTGAATCCTTTTATTCTCTCTCACCTTTTATTCTCTCTCACCCTCACTCTCTTTGAATCCTTTTATTCTCTCTCACCAACACTCTCTTTGAATCCTTTATTCTCTCTTACACTCACTCTCTAAATCCTTTTATTCTCTCTCACCCCTTCTCTTTTGAATCCTTTTATTCTCTCTCGATCTAATCCTTTTTTCTCTCTCACCCCACTCTCTTTGAATCCTTTTATTCTCTCTCACCCTCACTCTCTTTGAATCCTTTTTCTTCTCTCTCCTTTTACCTCACCCTCTCTTTGAATCCTTTTATTCTCTCTCACCCTCACTCTCTTTGAATCCTTTTATTCTCTCTCACCCTCACTCTCTTTGAATCCTTTTATTCTCTCTCACCCTCACTCTCTTTGAATCCTTTTATTCTCTCTCACCCTCACTCTCTTTGAATCCTTTTATTCTCTCTCACCCTCACTCTCTAAATCCTTTTATTCTCTCTCACCCTCACTCTCTTTGAATCCTTTTGATTCTCTCTCACCCATTCTTTTCCTTTATTCTCTCTCACACTCACTCTCTAAATCCTTTTATTCTCTCTCTCTCTCTTTGACCCTCTCTCACCCTCACTCTCTTTGAATCCTTTTATTCTCTCTCACCTCACTCTCTAAATCCTTTTATTCTCTCTCCCCCTCTTTTGAATCCTTTTTTATTCTCTCTCACCCTCTCTCTCTAAATCCTTTTATTCTCTCTCTCCCTTTTATTCTCTCTTTGAATTTTTATTCTTTTCTCTTTTGATTCTCTCTCTCATACACTCTCTCTCTCTCTTTTGAATTCTTTTCCTTTTCTACATTTGAATTTTATTCCTTTATCTCTCATTCTCCATGATATTCTTCACTCTCTGTCTCCAAATACTTTCCTTTCTATTTCCTCAATCTTTCCTCTTTACTTTCTATTTTTCATCCTCCTCTACAATTTCTGTCCTCTTTCTCTCTCTGCCCTATCTCCATCTTTGTTTCTCTTTTGCGCTTGCGGTCAGGCAGTTTTACCCCTTGGACCTAAACGTTTGTCTAATGGCACTAAAGGTAAGTGGGGAGGTGCTGACCTGGTAGTGTTAAATGCAAAACCTAAAAAGCTCTCCAAGACAACTGCTGCCGTCTCCCAGATGTGGCTCTGATCTGCTCAGGGATAGCATGTGAAGATCTACGAGATGCTTATTGCCTCGCTGAGAGTGCTTTTGGTGAGAGTCCAAGACATCTCGTCCTCTTGGGCAACTATTGCAATTGGAGAGTGGAATCAGTAGGCAAGAACCTCCATGGTCCTCATGCACTTGACACATACTTGGCAGAGAAGAGACGAGCACAACCTAAACCTCCTTCATGGCTCCCTTGGCCTTTCATCGAACAAGATGCTGATAATCCAAAACGTAAGCCTCGCCAATGATTATCACAAAATGCTATCTACCAAATTTATCTTCCTTCTTATGAAGCCACTGATCTAAATGTTTACCATAAAATGTATTTTAGGATATTTGGAGAAATAAGGTGCCTTGACAAAATGTATTTTAGGATATTTGGAGAAATAAGGTGCCTTGACAAAATGTATTTTAGGATATTTGGAGAAATAAGGTGCCTTGACAAAATGTATTTTAGGATATTTGGAGAAATAAGGTGCCTTGACAAAATGTATTTTAGGATATTTGGAGAAATAAGGTGCCTTGACAAAATGTATTTTAGGATATTTGGAGAAATAAGGTGCCTTGACAAAAGCTAGAAAGAAATTGGATTTAAGTAAACAACCATAAAGGTTAATTTGTAAACTTGAATTTTTGTTATCTTCTATCGTAAGTTTAAATTACTTTATTGTATTTTTAAATTCACAAGGAAATGCAGTTGAAATTTCATGGGACATCTTTGTAATTTAGAAATTCATGATTCTTTTAAATTCTACTTTTTAAATTAAAATGTTATCAGCATAAGCCCAAAGGCAATTATGTTAGGAAAAGTAATATTGATAGCAATCTGATATCAAAAGTGAATGATCCTTTAGCATTCAACTCGCCCAAAACTGCTCCATAAATATTGCCTCTCAGTGTTTAACCAACTGTAACCCACCCCATGTATACTCTGCCATAATATATGACAACATCATTGCAAATAACAAAGGAAATCAGACAGTGAGATTTTGAAAGTCAATATTTATGGGGCTGGTTTGAGTATGTTGAATTCAAATTACACGATAATAATATTATCAAGAGTTATGAATAGGGATTGACAGTGGAGTGGTTTCCCAAATAAAATGCCTTCCAAAAATAAAAACAAAGCAAAGTAATAAGAAACAGGAAAATTTTGTTATAAACAAAGAAAAAAAAAATGTACTGAAATTATGATATAATATCGGTCCTCCTATATAGCGGTGAATGCTGGACAATATTCTCAAAGATGAAGAAGAGACTTGAAGCAACAGAAATGTGGTTCTACAGAGGGATACATCTTGTTATGTTTACATAGAAGTTTGCTATGCAATGATAACAGTCACGGAATAGCAGACACAGGTTATGAATTCATAAATCTTTGATGGTGAACATCACTGTTGTAATGTCTATATAACCACTCTGATGATGGCTCTTGTGAGCCGAAAGGTTAGATCGAGGAACAGCATAATAAAAAATATCCAAATGTTGGACAGTTTTTGTCTTTATTTTCTCCTGAAACTAAAATCACTATACAAAGCTTAGAACGGCTCATGATCAAACATAATAGACATTCGTTGTCTGTTATATTTAACAATATAAGTTTGAATAATTATCTGCCGTCCCAATATACTATATATATATATATATATATATAATGGACTAAGTCCGACAATTATTTTAAGATATTTTCTGTATATATGTTATTTTTATAGATACAACTATTTAAGTAAATGGTCTGTTTTTAATAAACAGTATTAATTATATTTACCGGCCTGAATGTCTGAGAAATTTTGCAGAAAATATGTGTCCTCTGACAGGAATCAAACCTGTGTCCTACATGGAAATTTGTTGTTTAAAAACAGTAATTTGGATTTTGCTAACCAGACACTTCCTCTGTAACTGAGTGGTGTATAGCACATCAGATCAAATGACAGTTCCATGTAGAACAGGTTATAGAATCTACATTCCTTTGAATATCTTGTTTGAATTTTGTTAAATAAATCTTTTATTGTTCATCATGAAGCCTATTTAATTTCGTTTGCGTGGGACATGGAGTTACTCAGATATTCACATTTTGGAATCTTTTTTTTTAATTTCCAGACATCAACAATCTGTGTTCAAGCAAAAGGATTTTCTTTATTCCTTGAAGTTACCAGCTTAAGTTAATCTATTATCCGTCTCTTG